GATTACAGACACTAGCCACTGTGCCCGGCCTTTCTTCTTTCTTAATGAAAAATATGTTTAAGTAATTTCTCATTTCATATGATAGGTACTGCGATCTTTTGGTAGATAATAATGTCAGGTTAAAAAAGCATCTTTCTATTTCTAACATGCAAAACTTTCTTATTAGTGGTGAAAGCTGACTTTTAAAATATATTTTATGTGTCTGTTAAGACTATGATATTTTGTTAAAACAACCACACACCCTTGATTAAATCAATTTTATCTATCATGTGTTTTTCTTCTTATCAATTTATTTAGGATTTTAGCATCTAGGTTCTTGAGAGAGGTTGGGTTGTAATTTGCATTTCTCATAATATCCTGATCTGGTTTTTGTGCCAAGATTACACTAGCCCCATGAGTTTATTGTAATGCCTGTTTTTATTATTTTATAGTCGTTTGCAAAGTTGAAATTATATATTCTTTGTTTGGTAGTAGTCACTGTTAAAATAAATAACCTAGTCTTTGTTCTTTTAGTGAGAAAAACCTAAATTACGAATTCAGTTGCTTTAGTGATTCAGAACTATTGTTTTTTTTTTTTTTTTTTGAGTCTTTTTAGCAGGTAATTATATTACATAAATTTATTTAATTCATCTAAATTTTCAAATATATTTGCATAAACTCATAATATACCCTTTTTATTTAGATGAGGTTATTGAAAGGCAATATGACATAGTTGCTAAGAGAATGTACTCAGGTAGCTAGGTTTAATCCACACTCCAGTACACTTAAAATGCATGCTAGTTTAGCCAAGTTATTTAATGTCTCTGTTCTTTAGTTTTCCCAACTATAAAATAAGAATAATAGTAGTGATTCATATAGTTGTCATGGAAATTCAATGAGTTTAGTATTTTAAAGTTTTTAGAACAGTGTGTGAAACTTAGTTGGTGATATGTAACTATGAAAATTTAAAATGTATCAAAAACCTTGTCATATTTCATTTTTTTCTGAATTATGTTTAATTTTCAATTTTGTTTGTTAGTTTGTATTTATGAGTTAGTTGTTAAATTACTCCTAGGTTCATTGTTGTTGGTGGTCATTTACAATTTAATTGCATTGTAGACTGACAGTATGATCTTTATGATACCAACTTTAAAGAAGAAGAAGTAGACAATGCCTTATGGCTTAGCAAACATGATTAATATTTAATAGGTTCTGTATGGTTGAAAACAATGAATATTGTTCAGTTTGGGATGTAATGTTTAAATATGTCCATTCAATCAATATGGAATTATGTATTTCAAATATATAACTTATTGTATATTCAAATCCACATATATAATTATTTTTTACTCCTTGTTCAAAACATTATTGAAAATTAATGATAGTGAGTTTGCAACTCCTTAATGTAGCTCAGCCCATTTTAAAAAATATTTTTTGATCTAGTGATTAGATTCATATTTTAGAATCATGATATCTTCCAGGTGATTGAATATTTTATCATCATGCAGTGACCTTTACCATGTTATGTTTTTTCCTTAAATGTGTCTAATATTAATATAGATATATCAGCTTCTAATCTTAGTGTCTTTATTTGTTTAGATGGCTCTTGAAGACAATGTGCAGCTGGATTTTGTTTTACTTTTATTGTCTTAGAATTTATTACTTTTAACAGAACTCAATCAATTTGTATTTATGTAAATTACAAATCTTTGGAAGTTTTTTATTGCTTTGTGGTTTCCCTTTGTCCTACTTTTTAATATATTTTTATTTATTTATTACATTCTCTAAATTTAGTTTTTATCTAGTATTTTTTACTGTTTTATAAATTGCACAGTGTATGTATATTCCTTTTGGCAATCACCCTAACTTTTTGTTTAAATTTTTATGGATACATAAAAGTCAGACATATTTCTGGGGAACATATGTATTTTGATATGAACATACAGTGTATAGTAATAAGTCTGGTTAATTGGGAGATCCTTCACTCAAATATTTGTTATTTCTTTGTGTTGAACATTGTAAATTTACTCTTCGAGTTATGTTGAAGTATATTTAAAATAAAAGCTAATCACAACTTTACTTCTAATCACAACTTCATATTAACTTATTATTGTTCAATAATTTATATTTTGACATTTTAAAGCTTTTGTCAGCCAAATTACTTTCTTATTACTGTTTTATACAGATTTAATTTATATTTATCCTCCTGTTTACCAACTTATTTTGTTTTTCACTCATTCCTTCCTGTATTTAGTACTTCTTGGGATCATTGCCACTGCATTCTTTAGGAAGATCTTTAGGGAATGTATTTTGGGAGTAAATTCTCAGATTTTATTTGAGAAAATGTTCTTCATCCTTGTATTAGAATGTCATTATGTCCAAGTGTACAAATAAGTTTAGGGGACAGTTATTTTTTCTTAGCACTTTAAAGATATTGTTTTATTTAGACTGAGGCAGAGATTTCAGTGAGCCAAGAATGTGCCACTGCACTCCAGCCTGGGTGACAGAGTGACACTCATCTCAGAAAAAGAAAAAAAAATTTTTTTTAATTTTACTTTTATTCTAAGTAATTATTCCTGTGTAAGTGATTTTTCCATCCCCCAAGGCAGGCTGTTTTTAAGATGTTTTCTTTGTTTTTCTTTAGTGTTATTATAATGAGCTGTTCTGTAAAATCATTTTCTCTTTCTGTATTTCCTCTCTTCATTTCCATTATCTTCCTCTGACTATTAGACTACATTTTTGTCTTATATCATTTAACAACGCTTATCTCCGATGCATTCCTGTTAATTTCTTCAAATATGTCCTCCAATTCACCAATTTTCTCTTTATTTAGTTATTTAAAATTTATCATTTTATAAATTATATTATACAATTTATTGAACTACCACATATTGTATATATATAATACAATTTCTAAATAGTTATTTTCAAATTTGTCTGGACTTCTTATAAGCTCTTTTTCCATTCTTATCCTTTCAAATTCCTTCTTTATATATTTAAACATATAATGTTCTCTTATTTTATATTTTATATCTGGTAATTTTAATATTTGAAATCTTTGGGGTCTAAATTTAATATATTGTTTTTATTTCTGTTAAAAACCATAGTTTCTAGTTTTTTTTTTAAATTTCTGTGGGGATGGGAGGTTATTATTGTTATATGTGAGCTCAGTTTTGACAGAAATTTATTGTTGGGAATTCTGTAGTATTTGGATAGGCTGTAATTCTCTAAAGGAAATTTACATATGCTTTTTTATCTGTAAGAGCTGTGAACACAGCTTTGTTTTAAATTAAATTCTCACATGCAGTTTGAAGGACAATAAAGTTTCTTTGGATTTGAAACTCAAGGGTATAGAAAACAGTATCTGTGATTATGAGTTTTTAGAAAATACTTTTATTTTCTCCTTCTCCTTCTCCATCCATAGCCACAAGCCAAGACATAATTTGTCTGCTTCCTCTGTGGTATGATTTTTTTTTTCTTGTGGATAACTAATTATTTTTCTTGTACATGACTAATTGACAGTGTAGCTCTTTGGGATCCTATACAGATGGTCCCCTACTTAGTGGTTAGACTTATGATTTTTCAATGTTAGGATGTGTGAAAGCAATAAACATGCAATAGACACTGTATTTTAAGGACCCATACAACCATTCTGTTTTTCCTTTTCAGTATAGCATTCAATAAATTACATATGATATTCAACACTTTATTATAAAGTAGGCTTTGTGTTAGCTGATTTTGTCCAACTATGTAAGTGTTCGGAACAAATTTAAAGTAGGCGAACCTAAGCTGTTATGTTCAGCAGATTAGGTGTATTCAATGCATTTCCAGCTTAAAATATTTTCAACTTATGGTAAGTTTATTGTGATGTCAACCCCACTTTAAGTCAAGAAGCATCTGTATATTTTTAGGAGCTCTTAGTTTTAATTCCCCATCTTTTGGGGGCCCAATGTCTTGTTTTAAATGCTCTGACCAAACACTACATTTCCAGATGTGGCCAATGTCCCTAGAGCAGGTATCAGCTTCAGCATTTCTTTACCACTATAGATTTGTGTTCTCATAATTGTTTTACCTTCAGAAAGTTCTACTATCTCTTTGAAAGTTTAGCTATTTTTAACAGTATGACTTTAATACTCTATACTGAATTCTAGGCAAAATGAAAGACACTTGTTTAGCATATTGCTGGAAACCATAGAAGAGCTTTTTTGTATTAAAAATAGTTTTATCTTCACATTTAACTTTCTCTAAAATTGATGAGTTCATGTCCTTTGTAGGGACATGGATGAAACCAGAAACCATCATTCTCAGCAAATTGACACAAGAACAGAAAACCAAACGTTGCATGTTCTCACACATAAGTGGGTGTTGAACAATGAGGACACATAGACACAGGAAGAGGAACATCACACACCAGGGTCTCGGGAGTAACAAACCTGCACAATCTGCACATGTACCCCAGAACTTAAAGAAAATTTAAAAAATAAAATTGACCACACATCAATTATTTTATTTTATATAATAATTAGGTGTACACAAGAACTAACATAATTAATGTATAGCATGATGAGTTTTATAATATAAACATGTTTAGAGTGCTTTGAGAGCATTAGGAAAGGTATTTATTCAGGTAGCTTTCAAGGAAGGCTTTCAAGAGTTGCCATAAGCTGAATGAGACCTAAAAGATGAGAAGTTTAAAGACAGCACAGGGCATTCTAGACAAAACCATAGGCCAGAGAGGCATGAGAAACATGATATATTTAGGGAACTGGGATATATTCTGTCTCTGGACCATAGCATAAATATGAATGACTAGTTAGAGAAGATACTAGAGAGGTAGAAAAGGACATCAGATCTTATAGTACAGGTTCTTGCTAAGAACTTTGGACTTCACTGTGGAGAGTCTCTAAAACCTTGTAAACAAGGCAGTAATAACAGAAAATAAATACCTAGTAGAGGATTAACATTTAGCAAGTTGCTGAGGATGGATACAAACTATATAATTTTCTTTTTCTCATAAATAGGACCTCAGGCTCAGGCTACAGACCCGGGTATATTTTCTTCTCCTGTTAACACAAATATGTAAGTATCTAAGGAATTATATGTAATCATAAATAAAAATTTTAATAATTACATAAGAGTGCCACTCATAAGCAAATGATTACATGGAATCCTCAATTTTTGTAGTTCTACTTGGATTTAGTTAAACTTGCAGACTTTCAGCACTAAGCTTAAGTTGTAGACAAAATGAATATTTGTCCTTCCCTTTCTTTATCTCCGTATCTCCACTGTGGTTCTATAATCCACCTATAGTCAGGATCTCCATGCCACTTTCAAGTGTATCTGCATCATAGCTTTCTTCAGGTAATTTCTCATAACCTGTATTTATTTCTTTGCCTTTCTTTTCTTTGAAATAGCTACAATTCCTTATGCTTTTTGAGACTATTGGCTTTCTAATTCTGGTAATATAGTTTACTCTATAGTATTAATGACTTAATCAGTCATCCCCCACCCTAAAGGGTATTTTGCAGATTAATACAAAATAATAATCTCTAATAGTAGAAATTATGGCATGTAGAAGATATATTTGTTAAGGCCAGGTACTTTTCACTCCTCAAACCTTAGTGACCACCTATTTTGTTGATGTTTATATCTGTTTTTCTCAACTCAAGAAAAGAGAGAGAGGAAAACATGAATCTAAGTATAGCAATGAATTATTTTACACACATGCCACAATCTTTTAAAAAAATCAGCAAGACAAATGAAGTCTAGGAAAGATGATACAAACTCCAAATTCCCATGAAGATGATTGAGTAAAGTAAGTTGTGAGTGATGGCAAATGATATTGACATGTTCGGACCAGCCTTCTTGAAATAATAATTTTTACCTTAAGACAGATAAATACCAGTTAGTTTGACTTCTTGAGTATTCATATGATACATAACACAGTAAAAGATGCAGAAGGAAGGAAACTGACTTGTCTAGTTCAAAGCAATAAAACTTGATGACCGTGTGTAGACCACATGTAAAATAATTATTTTATTTATTGGATACATTTTTATTTATTGGAAATATAAGTACATACCTTTTAAAGAAAAGGTTATAAGAGGCTCATAATACTGTTGTAAAAAGTGCACTTTTATCTTCTCCAACCCAAGAATGTAGAACTACAAAAATCACTTGAATATTTCATAGCAAGCATTCTTTCCTTATAAATCTTAGCTTGGTGAAAAATAAAAAACTCTTTATCTTACCTGGAGCTTCTTCACCACTTCTCCAAAAGCATACACAGAGATCCAAATAAGAGCAAAGTCACATATGTCACATTCCTCTTGTTCAGGTTTAACTCCAAGTTTTATAGGAGTTTGCTGTGGAAGTCTCACATCTATTCCATCATTTCTTTCTCTTCTCTCACTTATTGCTTAGCTTTCTTGTTTCTGTTCAGTTGTTTATATTTATAAAATAGAGATGAAAATTCAGTACCAAAGGAATGAAAATAAAGCAAATATAACAGCAGTGGGAGTAAAGTTGCAATAATTCAGCATTGCACTTAGGTGATGAGTAAGTGTGTATTACAGGGAAGGTATAAGGAGTAACAGAGTGAAGAAAGCACTAAATCTATTATCCTGAAGTCTGTGGTTAAAACTTGTAGTTTATTTATTGGATAATAGTCTGATGGTTTTTAATGCAGGTAATGGTCAAATTAGCATATATAATGAGTAACTTTGACAATGATATATAGGAAAGATTGAAAGAAAGAAACTCAGAACCAGTTATTAAAGTCCATCAGTGTGGCCTGCACAAAGGCTTCATTTGGCATTAGAGAGAAGTAGGCACAGATCCAAAAGACTTTAAATAGGGATTTATTTATCAAATATTTATTGAGGACCTACTATGTTCAAACTATAATGCTAGATCTTAGGCAGGTACCAAGATAAAACTATGTTTCTACTATTTCAGGGTATTCTTTTTGAAGGATATTATGAAGCTGAAGAGAGGGGATAAAAATAAGACAAATTAAAACACCAAAACCTGTTGCTATTACCTAGGCTCACTGTTTTTCCTAAATAAGTGCTCTCTGGAATGCTGCAAGTTTTTAATTTTCTAGAGTTCCAGAAACTATAATTCTGGTCATTTTTCTTTTGCCAGTTCACTCATTATTTTTTGGAGGAATGAATATCAGAGATACTTTTCTTCTGATGCCATGGTTTATCTGGTTAAGAAAACTGTTTTCTAATAGTCATCAATAAACCTTTTTCAGTTTTCAGATTAAATTTACATGTAGGCCTTTGTACTTTGGTTCTGCATGCTTTTGGAGCAGAAAGTCTATTGGGAAGTGGTATCAATGAATACATAGAACTCCTTGAGTTATGTTTTATGCCAATGATATAATATGAAGAAAACAGAAAAATGAATCTGAATGCATTAGGTTGCAGAATATCTAAGAGAAACCTGTGGAAACTTGGGTTGACCTAAGAAACCAGATCCTAGAAAAACAAATGAGGGCAAATGATAGAGAACATATTACTGACATCAGCTTCCATGCTCCCAGTTGCATACTGCAAAAAGGTACTAAGGATAGACTAAAGATAGACTGTTGTCACAAAACGCATTTTATGAACTGAACCCAGTGAAGTTTTTCTTTTCCTGCCAAAATACAGGACGTAGTTTTTAGTCTGGCCTATTTCTTAAAATTGAATTATAAACCTTGGGGAAAATTTAAATTTAATCATGTGGAGTACAGGCCTAAAAGGTGTGTACTTAAGAAAATAGAAAGAAAAAAACAGTTCAAATCAGCAAAAATATATGAAAATAAATCAGACTTCAGTTTTAGACCTCGTTTTAATAAATATTTATTTTATTTTCCATTATTTTTATGATTGAGCTATACTTTTTTTGCAGTTCAGAAAACTTTTTATTTCATTAGTGTGTGATGGTAAATGTAATAACACATGATAGAGTATTGTCATACACAGAAAAGGAATGCATCTAAATTGGTATTAAATATAGCTAGAAATCCATGATTTTAACACATAGTTATTGAATAATCATTTTCTTCCTACCATGGAATATGGGGAGGGAACGGCAGAACTACAGCATCTGAAAGAGTAAATAAATGACTATCAGAAAGTTCTGGTCATATGATTTGCTGCTCTGTCAGACATTTTAACAGTCAAAAGGACACCCTCCCCTGCCAATCCGATATCCTTTTTCAGAGAAACCAAGTGGGCATGGCTAAGGTGTGTTAGAAGAACAAAGATCAGAGAGGTACATTGTTTATGCTGCAGCTATAAGACTGTTCCCATGAGTAATAAAGTACATTTCTAAAACTAGAGGCCATTCTAAGGAGAAAGTAAAATAGGAGGATTGGAAAAAATGGTATATTCTTCATTTTGAATTTGTATAGAAAAACTCTTAGATACAACAAAATGATTCAATAATTAGAAATTTTAGAAATATGTTTTATAAATTCCTGACTCTGCAATAAAGAAATGATCAACTTTTCTCTACAGGCAACAGAATCCACCACAAAATTGCTTGCAAGAAAAAGTATGTACCATAAAATCCACTGATAAAGCAACAATATTAGTCATACTTTCTGATACATCATAATAGAATACATTTTGTTAACTAGAAAACTAGGAGTCATCCATTGATATTTGTTGGTCTTCTTCTTTGTCCTTTTTTCTTGTTTGAAGTTCCTTTTCAGTTAATATTTATGCTTTTCTGTGGTCCAAAGTTGTTATCAAAAATAATATTAGCCATGCAAGATAAAGTCTCATGGGTATAGAATGGTGAAATATTAAGGGACCTAGCCATCACAGGAAGAGAATCAAATACCACAAGCCTATTCTATCATGGGAAGCTATAATGATATGCCCTTGCAGATCTTGTTGGTGAACTCAGTAGTAGATGAGTTGAGATGCTTGGATCTGTCTTTAGCAGTTTTGTGAAAAGGGACCTCATCACATATGAGCTGAGACTTGGAACAGGCAAAGATAAGATAGTATATTTTTATGAGACCTAATTTGGATCTACACTGAACACTCAGGAAAGAGAAAGCATTTGAGGAACAATACATATTCTGGCACACTATTTAACATGGACACTTGCTCAATTCATAGAATATGCAGCAAATACAAAAGCTTTGACCCAAGGGAATATTTTTCAGTAGTTTAATGTTGTAATAGAAAGAAAATGAAAACTGGGATTTCATCTATCATATTTCACTACAAAGAAAACTTTAGAAATAGATGCCTCTTTTACAGATTGAGGTTGGAATCGCTTTGCCACAACTAGCCTAAGAGTAATAATGTAGGTTATTGTTTATCAACTCTCGTAATAAGAAAAATAACATATTGAATGTCTTAGTTTATCATTTATATGTGTTGTAGTTGATTTAGAATAATTATCTTCTCTGTAAACATTTAGGTTTTATTCTTAAATATTTGATTTAGAGTGTATTTATTTAAAACAAGCATTTTTTTTTTAAATTTTTTATTGGATTTTAGGTTTTGGGGTACATGAGCAGAGCATGCAAGACAGTTGTGTAGGTACACACATGGCAGTGTGCTTTGCTTTCCTTTTCCCCTTCACCCACATTTGGTATTTCCCCCCAGGCTATCCCTCCCCAGCTCCCCCTCCCACTGGCCCTCCCCTTTCCCCCCCAATAGACCTCCCCTCTCTGTGTCCATGTGTTCTCATTTTTCATCACCCGCCTATGAGTGAAAATATGTGGTGTTTCATTTTCTGTTCTCGTGTCAGTTTGCTGAGGATGATGTTCTCCAGATTCATCCATGTCCCTACAGACGACACAAACTCATCATTTCTGATTGCTGCATAATATTCCATGGTGTATATGTGCCACATTTTCCAATCCAGTCTATTATCAATGGGCATTTGGGTTGATTCCAGGTCTTTGCTATTGTAAACAGTGCTGCAATGAACATTCGTGTACATGTGTCCTTATAGTAGAACGATTTATAGTCTTTTGGATATATACCCAGTAATGGGATTGCTGGGTCAAATGGAATTTCTATTTCTAAGGCCTTGAGGAATCGCCACACTGTCTTCCACAATGGTTGAACTAATTTACACTCCCACCAACAGTATAAAAGTGTTCCTTTTTCTCCACATCCTCTCCAGCATCTGTTGTCTCCAGAATCGCCATTCTAACTGGTGTGAGATGGTATCTCAATGTGGTTTTGATTTGCATCTCTCTGATGACCAGTGACGATGAGCATTTTTTCATATGATTGTTGGCCTCATATATGTCTTCTTTCGTAAAGTGTCTGTTCATATCCTTTGCCCACTTTTGAATGGGCTTGTTTGTTTTTTTCCTGTAAATCTGATTGAGTTCTTTGTAAATTCTGGATATCAGCCCTTTGTCAGATGGGTAAACTGCAAACATTTTTTCCCATTCTGTTGGTTGCCGATCCACTCTAGTGACTGTTTCTTTTGCCGTGCAGAAGCTGTGGAGTTTCATTAGGTCCCATTTGTCTATTTTGGCTTTTGTTGCCAATGCTTTTGGTGTTTTGTTCATGAAGTCCTTGCCTACTCCTATGTCCTGGATAGTTTTGCCTAGATTTCCTTCTAGGGTTTTTATCTTGCCAGGTCTTATGTTTAAGTCTTTAATCCATCTGGAGTTAATTTCCAGTTTCTGCTTTCTGCACATGGCTAGCCAGTTTTCCCAACACGATTTGTTAAACAGGGAATCCTTTCCCCCTTGCTTGTTTTTGTCAGGTTTATCAAAGATTGTATAGTTGTAGATATGTTGTGTTGCCTCCGGTGCCTCTGTTTTGTTCCATTGGTCTATATCTCTGTTTTGGTACCAGTACCATGCTGTTTTGATTACTGTAGCCTTGTAGTATCGTTTGAAATCCGGTAGTGTGATGCCCCCCGCTGTGTTCTTTTTGCTTAGAATTGACTTGGCTATGTGGGCTCTCTTTTGGTTCCATATGAAGTTCATGGTGGTTTTTTCCAGTTCTGTGAAGAAAGTCAATGGTAGCTTGATGGGGATAGCGTTGATTCTGTAAATTACTTTGGGCAGTATAGCCATTTTCACGATATTAATTCTTCCTAACATGAACATGGAATGTTTCTCCATCTGTTTGTGTCCTTTCTGATTTGAGGAGTGGTTTCTAGTTCTCCTTGAAGAGGTCCCTTACGTTCCTTGTGAGTTGTATTCCAAGGTATTTTATTCTTTTTGTAGCAATTGTGAATGGCAGTTCGTTCTTGATTTGGCTTTCTTTAAGTCTGTTATTGGTGTAGACGTATGCTTGTGATTTTTTGCACATTGATTTTATATCCTAGACTTTGCTGAAGTTTCTTATCAGTTTCAGGAGTTTTTGGGCTGAGGCGATGGGGTCTTCTAGGTATACTATCATGTCGTCTGCAAATAGAGACAATTTGGCTTCCACCTTTCCTGTTTGAATACCCTTTATTTCTTTTTCTTGCCTGATTGCTCTGGCTAGAACTTCCAGTACTATATTGAATAGGAGTGGTGAAAGAGCGCATCCTTGTCTAGTGCCAGATTTCAAAGGGAATGCTTCCAGTTTTTGCCCATTCAGTATGATATTGGCTGTTGGTTTGTCAATAAAATAGCTTTTATTACTTTGAGATACGTACCGAGTTTATTGAGGGTTTTTAGCATAAAGGGCTGTTGAATTTTGTCAAATGCCTTCTCTGCGTCGATTGAGATAATCATGTGGTTTTTGTTTTTGGTTCTGTTTATGTGGTGAATTATGTTTATAGACTTGCATATGTTGAACCAGCCTTGCATCCCCGGGATGAATCCTACTTGATCATGGTGAATAAGTTTTTTGATTTGCTGTTGCATTCGGCTTGCCAATATTTTATTGAAGATTTTTGCATCTATGTTCATCATGGATATTGGCCTGAAGTTTTCTTTTCTTGTTGGGTCTCTGCCGGGTTTTGGTATCAGGATGATGTTGGTCTCATAAAATGATTTGGGAAGGATTCCCTCTTTTTGGATTGTTTGAAATAGTTTTAGAAGGAATGGTACCAGCTCCTCTTTGTGTGTCTGGTAGAATTTGGCTGTTAACCCATCTGGACCTGGGCTTTTTTTGAGTGGTAGGCTCTTAATTGCTGCCTCGTTTGACCTTGTTATTGGTCTATTCATAGTTTCAACTTCCTCCTGGTTTAGGCTTGGAAGGACACAGGAGTCCAGGAATTTATCCATTTCTTCCAGGTTTACTAGTTTATGTGCATAGAGTTGTTCGTAATATTCTCTGATGATGGTTTGAATTTCTGTGGAATCTGTGGTGATTTCCCCTTTATCATTTTTTATTGCATCTATTTGGTTGTTCTCTCTTTTCTTTTTAATCAATCTGGCTAGTGGTCTGTCTATTTTGTTGATCTTTTCAAAAAACCAGCTCTTGGATTTATTGATTTTTTGAAGGGTTTTTCGTGTCTCAATCTCCTTCAGTTCAGCTCTGATCTTAGTTATTTCTTGTCTTCTGCTGGGTTTTGAGTTTTTTTGATCTTGCTCCTCTAGCTCTTTCAATTTTGACGATAGGGTGTCAATTTTGGATCTCTCCATTCTCCTCATATGGGCACTTATTGCTATATACTTTCCTCTAGAGACTGCTTTAAATGTGTCCCAGAGGTTCTGGCATGTTGTGTCTTCGTTCTCATTGGTTTCAAAGAACTTCTTTATTTCTGTCTTCATTTCATTGTTTACCCAGTCAACATTCAAGAGCCAGTTGTTCAGTTTCCATGAAGCTGTGCGGTTCTGGGTCGGTTTCTGAATTCTGAGTTCTAACTTGATTGCACTATGGTCTGAGAGGCTGTTTGTTATGATTTCAGTTGTTTTGCATTTGTTGAGCAGTGCTTTACTTCCAATTATGTGGTCAATTTTAGGGTAAGTGTGATGTGGTGCTGAGAAGAATGTGTATTCTGTGGATTTGGGGTGGAGAGTTCTGTAAATGTCTATCAGGTTTGCTTGCTCCATGTCTGAGTTCAAGCCCTGGATATCCTTGTTGATTTTCTGTGGTTGATCTGTCTAATATTGACAGTGGAGTATTAAAGTCTCCCACTATTATTGTGTGGGAGTCTAAGTCTCTTTGTAAGTTATTAAGAACTTGCCTTATGCTGGGTGCTCCTGCATTGGGTCCATATATGTTCAGGATTGTTAGTTATTCTTGTTGTATCGATCCTTTTACCATTATGTAATGGCCTTCTTTGTCTCTTTTGATCTTTGTTGCTTTAAAGTCTATTTTATCAGAGATGAGAATTGCAACTCCTGCTTTTTGTTGCTCTCCATTTGCTTGGTAAATCTTCCTCCATCTCTTTATTTTGAGCCTTTGTGTATCCTTGCATGTGAGATGGGTTTCCTGGATACAGCACACTGCTGGGTTTTGGCTTTTTATCCAATTTGCCAGTCTGTGTCTTTTGATTGGTGCATTTAGTCCATTTACATTTAGGGTTAATATTGTTATGTGTGAATTTGATACTGCCATTTTGATGCTAAGTAGCTGTTTTGCCTGTTAGTTGTTGTAGATTCTTCTTTATGTTGGTGCTCTTTAGCATTTAGTGTGATTTTGGAATGGCTGGTACTGGTTGTTCCTTTCTATGTGTAGTGCCTCTTTCTTGTAAAGCAGGCCTGATGGTGACAAAATCTCTGAGTACTTGCTTGTTGGCAAAGGATTTTATTTTTCCTTCACTTCTGAAGCTCAGTTTGGCTGGATACGAAATTCTGGGTTGAAAGTTCTTTTTTTTAAGAATGTTGAATATTGGCCCCCACTCTCTTCTGGCTTGTAGTGTTTCTGCCGAGAGATCTGCTGTGAGTCTGATGGGCTTCCCTTTGTGGGTGACCCGACCTTTCTCTCTGGCTGCCCTTAGTATTTTCTCCTTTATTTCAACCTTGTTGAATCTGACGATTATGTGCCTTGGGGTTGCTCTTCTTGCGGAATATCTTTGTGGTGTTCTCTGTATTTCCTGCAATTGAGTGTTGGCTTTTCTTGCTAGGTGGTGGGAAATTTTCCTGGATGATGTCCTGAAGAGTATTTTCCAGCTTGGATTCATTCTCTTCATCCTCTTCTGGTACACCTATCAAACATAGGTTAGGTCTTTTCACATAGCCACATTTCTTGGAGACTTTGTTCATTCCTTTTTGCACTTTTTTCTCTAATCTTGGTTTCTCATTTTATTTCATTCAGTTCGTCTTCGACTTCAGATATTCTTTCTTCTGCTTGGTCAATTCGGCTATTGAAACTTGTGCATGCTTCGCAAAGTTCTCGTATTGTGTTTTTCAGCTCCTTTAATTCATTCATATTTCTCTCTAAGTTATCCATTCTTGTTATCATTTCTCCATATCTTTTTTCAAGTTCCTTAGTTTCTTTGCATTGTTTTAATACATGTTCTTTTAGCTCACAAAAGTTTCTCATTATCCACCTTCTGAAGTCTAATTCCGTCATTTTGTCACAGTCATTCTCCATCCAGCTTTGCTCCCTTGCTGGTGAGGAGTTTTGTTCCTTTCTAGGAGGCGAGGTGTTCTGGTTTCGGGTGTTTTCCTCCTTTTTTCGCTGGTTTCTTCCCATGTTTGTGGATTTATCCACTTGTTGTCTGCGTAGTTGCTGGGTCTCTGAGTGGACACCCAGATTGTTGATGATGAAGTATTTCTGTTACTTGGGTTTCTTCTACCAGTCTAGCCCCTTCGCTGTACAACTGCTGAGGTCCACTCCAGGCCCTGCTTGTCTGGGGTGTACCTCTAGCAGCTGTGGCACAGTGAGGGATGCTACCCATTTCTTTTTCTGCTATCTTTGTCCCAGGATGATGCCTGCCAAATGTCAGTCTTTTGGATTTAGAGGGGTCAGGGAGCTGCTTGAGGAGACAGTCTGTACTTTATAGGAGCTCAATTGCTGAGCTGTGAGCTGTGTTGTCCATTCAGGGCTGTTAGGCTGCTATGTTTGATTCTGCTGCAACAGAGCTCATTAAAAAAACCCTTTTTTTCTCAAATGCTCTGTGTTCGGGGGTTCGGGCTTTATTTTTCGATGTCCACTGAGGTGTTCTGCCCAGCTAGGAGGCAGATTAGCCACTGTTTGCCTGCCACGCCCTGCGGCGGAGTGGGTTGCCTCAGCAACGGCAGGCTGCGTCAGCAGTGGGCGTGTATCTCAGTAGGGACGGGTTGCCTCGGCAACGGCTGGCTGTGTCGGCAGTGGGCGTGTATCTCAGTTGGGGCGGGTTGCCTCAGTAATGGTGGATGCCCCTCCCCCACAGAGCGTCTCGCACCGCCTGCCCGGGGATTGTTTGAAATCGCGGTTTTGTTCGTCCCACTGGGCTACCCCGAACGCTCTGTCCCTGCAATCCCCTGGGCTGGCCCCCTGTCCAAGTCTCGTTCAGTCTCAAGTCCAGCCCTCTCAAGTCTCAGGTTGCCAGTTCAACAGGGCACCCGGACAAGCGCGCCCTGTGGGGAGCGCTGGGGTGGCCGGCCACTGCCACCCCGGCTGCCGGCTTCGCCAGGTAGAGGTACTGCCTGGCGTCCCGCGTCTCCTTTATACTTGGGAGTTTCCCCATTCCGTGGGCAACAAAGATCAATCTGGAAATGCAGCTGCGGATTCGACGAGAGCTCCAATCCTGGGTTGTTCTCACAGCGCCATCTTGAGTCCTCTCCCAAGACAAGTATTTTATAACAAACTGTCATCTCAAAATATGTGTCATAACCACTAACCCATTGCTTATACAATAAGTTAAAAAATATTGGGGGTATATTTGGGGATTACAGCTGAGTAAAATGGCCTTTCCTCAGGTGCTCCTCAAATGCTTTGAAATGAGCCATGAGGGAGTGTGGCATATACATGTTAACTTTTCTTTGAATGTTTCTCTGAAATATGAGTAATTTCAGACTAATTTAGGCAATATTTTGGGTGTGAGCAGCCTAGTTACAGGAATCTTATTTACACGAAGACCTACACATCAGCCTTCTAAGCTTTGCTGCCAATTACTTGTGTTTACAGCCTGTATGCTTTAAGAGTTTTAACAATTTAAAAACAGTACTACTTTATTATAAGTAAGATGAGTTTTGTAAGCACAAAATGCTGCGGTTGGTAAGTAGAGGTTTATAGAACTCTACAGATGCATTTGTTTCTATCCATGGTCCAGCACAAATCTATGACAGCACTATTGGTCACTAAGGAAATGGTTATTCAAATCTGGTTCTTAGTTCCAGCTCAGTAATAGTCTAACTTTCTTAATCTTGCTCAGCTCTCCCTACTCTTTGAGTCACAAATCTAGCTTGACTTTTATGTTCTATCTAAATTAATGTGTTACCTTACTTTATTATCTGTTCTCAGCTTTCCTATCTAAGGCAATTTGTATTTACACTTGTTTGTTGGGCAAAAAGCCTGTTAATCTATATAAAGCATGAACTTTTATTTTTGCCTATCAAATAATTCTTAATAATTAACTTTAATCATTTCTATAGATATAGATAGACTACAGGCTCACCCTTTCAGCAGGGACTGGAAGAGAGAATGATTTGTGTTCCCTCCCCATATCTCAGTTAGACAGATGCTTCTGAAAGCAACCAATATTTTCTGTTTTGAGAAATATTTTATTACAAATATTTAATGATCTTAAAAATTAGCTGGATCATAAAGATTACATGTTTTCTTTCCAAAATATTTGCATGCTGTGTGCCTATACAACAATTTGGTAATTTTTTTAAACAAAAAATCATTTATCCTGATAATAAATGCCAAGGGAAAAAGAAACTTCTGAGAGACTGTGAATAAAATAAATCTTAAACACAAAAAAAAATACTTCAGTATATTGCAGAATAAACAAACTAGAAATTCATCTGAAATTCTAAATTTCTAATCTTTTTTTTAACTATTTTCTTTCATAAACCATATGGGTTTTCCACCTATACGTTGCTTGATATAAAAATTCGATGTTACCTGCTGTCTCCAAAACATAGAGTAAGTTGTTATATGACTTTGTTTTCATCCCTGCTTACTTCATTTCTAGGTAACTTCTGAAGAACTGATTATTATAATTCAGAATATAATGACCTGGGTTGTGGCTACCATATTGTACCCAGCCATCACAAAGTATGAAGAAAGATTGAGAAATAATACATACCCAGCGTCCGATAACTCCATCCTCTCTTCAGATAGTTCAAGTTTCTGTAGCACATGCAGTGAAGACTTTGCAGATAGAACCTACACATCTTCAACAACTAAAACATTTCAGGCAGAACCCTGTGCATTTGCAGTTGACCTGTCAGTAAGGAGACCAACCACACCAATAAAACTTTCTCCTGCACATAAGGAAAGAACTGTTGTCGGGAAAACCTATCATGCAAAAGGACAATCTATAACTTCTACACTTAAATATAATAAAAGCAACGTGCTATGTTCATACCCTAAGCTCAGAAGTTGTAAATCAGATAGTCATCTTTTAGCATCATTTGAAACAAGCACAACAAAGTCTAAGGATGCTACTACTGAAACAGATAGCCTAGGGAGTTCACTGATTTGTGATAAAAAAGCAAAAGCCATAGATGAAATGAAGAATTTTTAAATGTCACTTGAAAGAGAAAACTAAAGTGATTTTAGAAAGCATCTTTCGTGAAATAATATCTGATTTAACCCAGGCCATTCCCTCTCTCTCTTCTGTTACTGCTGAAGTTTTTGTTGAACAATGTGAAGGTGAAAAAGAAGACTTGCCCTCCAATGTTGATATTTGCTCAGTTGCTTCTGAGATTGTGGAAAATATGCTTGAGAAGTTAGAGTCTGCAGTGGATAAAAAATGTGTTGAGATGTTTTCACAAGATGTACCAGTCAACATTAAACCAAGCTTAACAGCCAGTGATGAACATCTCCCATCATCAAATAAAAAACCTTTGACTGATTCAATGCCTTGTACTTTGGACCCGATGTATGATATTGCAGAGGACATGGTGCATGCCATTTTAGAAAAGCTGATGTCTCTTACTTCTTCTAAGCGAAATGAATTTCTTCTACTTAAAGATTCGACTAAGCTTTCCTGCCAGCAACATAAGACAGACCCAGTATGTATGTTCCTTCAGAGAGCTGGCAAAAATAAATCTAGTCTTGAATCTGACGCAGCTAGTTTAACTGTCAATGAAGAAATACAAAATTTACTATCAAATATTTTTTCCCAGTCCTCTTTGATTGGTTATATAGAGGAAGCAATTAGTGCTATACTAGGTTATATACAAACTGAACTAAATAATGAGAGAATTATTGCATCTGAAGAAACAGTAGTACTCCTTCAGCTACTTGATGATATCCTTGCTCAGCTCCATCAGGAACCAGCAAAGAAAAATTTTCAAAAATGTAGACAACCTAGAATAAGTAGTCCTTCTGACACCAAAGAAAAGTACAGACTCGCTGGCACTAGATTATCTAATAGTCCTAGGTCTAGAAGACCATTTCTACCTATAAATGTTCCAGGCATACTTCTTTATTCTGAAGATGAGGAGATAGACAATATTGTAAAAACTGTGCTTGATTCAGTTTTCAAAGATGAAAACAAAATCACAAGAACAGATTCCTGATAATTCATTTACAAAGGGAAACACTTGTTTTGAATACAAAAGAAATACCAAACCACCTACAAAGCCTGTTTCTAGAAGCCAAGTTGCATTTCCTGATTGGGAATTAAAGACTGAGCCACCATCTCTTAATCATAATGATACTTTAAAGAAAAAACTTTGTTTGAATAAAGTTATTTTGACCTTCAGCCAAGACCAAAAGCATCAAATACAAAAGGCTTCAGAAAACATAGTCACAAGTGTTTTAAAAGAAATGCTCACGGACGTATCTTCTGTTCCTCCTGGTCATTTCAACAGCAAAACTGGCAATGAAGCTTCAGTTCTTGCTTCACAAAAGCCTCAAGGACTGTCACATCAAGAATGGATAGACCAGCTGTTTTCTGTTTCAGAAATCAACACAGTGGCTCAAGAAATAAAAGATTCTGTGTCGAACATACTTCATAAGGCACCAAACTACATTTCCAATACCACTAAAATTCATCAGACTTCCTTAGATAGTTCTGACACTGCACATGGAGGCAAAGAAGCACCAAATAAATGTTCATTAAAAACATGGTTTGACAGTGAAAAGAAAATGCAATATTTATCTTCATTCAATATTGATTCTGAAAAGCCTTCCTGGTTAAAATCTGGAGAAAGTGAACTTAAACCTGTAGATGACATTAATGATAAGATCATTCACACAATATTTAAAAGACTAAAGTTATTTATTTGTCCAAAATTGCATATGGGCTTCAAATCTTTACTACAATCTCAACTTAGTAAGTACACAGCTAAAATAGTGAACATTGTTTTATGTGCTATCCAGAATGAACTGGAACTCCGTAAGAAAAACCTAAATTTTATGGAGATTGACCATACCAAATCTCTTATAGCTAATACTAATAAAAATTAGAATCTCTTGTCACAAGTATTGATGATGACATTTTGGCAAGTCCATTATTAACATGTATTTATGTTCACTTTCTTCATGTATGCAAAAGTCTGCAAATGACAGTGTTGATGAACAAAGCATTTTGCCAAATAGGCAGGATAAAAAATCTTTTCACAAATATATGGCTACTCCTTGTGCTCTCCACAGTGTCAATGATGAAAAAGGTACTCAAAATAATGCAAAATTGGAAGTGTTAGATAGAATTGGGGAAACACTACATGAAATGTTAAGCAAGCTCCTGGGAAGCCAAGAGACTACCAATAAGAATCAGAAAATGGCTGCTGCATTGCAGTGTAATATTCAGTTAATTTCCAAAGCAATTTTTGATTATATCCTTGCAAAATTATCTGGTATTGACATGGATACCAGTTTTGCAAGTTGTGGATTAAAAGCCATCTCAGAGTCTCTTGACATTGACAACCCATCATTTGCTTCAATTATTGAGAAAATGGCCAAATCTACCAAAATAATCTCCAGCATAGTTTCCAAATGGTTCAGGAGGGCAATAAAGAGGGAACTCAAAGTAAAGCAAAACCTGTTGCTCCTGTGTCTTCCAAAGCAGAGAGCCCAAAAGAAATGCATCCAAATAAACTGAAAGCTGTAGCTTCAGACATTCTTAATATGGTTTTTGCTAAACTGAAAGGGTTTGCCGATGGATATTTAGAAATTCTGGATGCTATTAATGATGAAAATAAGAAAAGCAATAAGATGGGCTGGGAATGTGAAAGCACCAATATTTTCAGAGACACACATGAAGAATCATTTTTGTCTGCTTTATACACACCTGCAAAGAAGGTATCAAGTGCTATCTTGAAGGCTATTCAAACAGAATTAAATGTGACTTCATCGGACTTGAGGACAAGTGTAAAATCCCTACCACCTGAGACTCAGATTCTTACGGATGTAGTCAAATTAATTTTAGATGCACTATCTTCAGATATGTTTAATGAAACTGAATCCAAAGAGGGAGGCATTGAAACTTATCGACATATGGAAGTCTTCCTGGAGGAGCTGAATCAGATTCATTTCTAGAAGATGAGGCATATACAGAGAAAAAAATTACTGATGATAGATCACTACAAAGAGAAGAAACGAACACACATTCTCTTAAACAATGGGCTCTAGAAAAAACCTTAAACAAAATTGAAGTAAAACTCAAAGAACCAAATATATCTCCAATTGCTCCCATCATGAGAAATATTTTGAATGAAATTTTTCAAAGTACTTTAATCAATCAATTAAATGTGCTTTCTCTCTCCCACTCTCATTTTAATGGCATGCCTCACAATGTTGATGCGCCAGTTGCCCAAACACCTGTTCAATGTATGGATAAAATGATGGATCCTTTAATTTCTGAAGCAGATATAACCATAGTAACAGAAAATATTGTTAAAACTGTATTTCACAAACTTTATTCAGCTGCCATGACAGAAAGAAATGTAAGGAAAAATAGGTATAAAACTATGAATTTTTCAGCCTCTGTCACTGCATTGGATAAAAATCCATGTGCTTTTCAGTCTAGATTCAGTGTAGCTGACAAAGAGGCAAAGGTAAATGTAGTTGAAGATATTGTACAGGCAATATTAACAAATTTGGAAACGTTTGCTACTTCCAAAGTAAAATCTCTCTTTTGTTCCCAAGTCAACATTACAGTTCCAGTGGCCTTACCTATTCAACAAGATCAGAGTACATTGAGCAAAGCATTATCAGCCAAAGATCCATATTCTGATGAGCAGTTTTCCTATTGCTCAGTAGATTATACTAAGTCAGGAGAGACCAACTTGTGCCAACTGTCTTTGTCTAAATTAAATACTTATGCACAACAAGTGGCTAGAAAAAATTTACAAGAAATTAAACATGAATTAGATAAAGAAAAGGAAAATCATTTCTTAACTCACGACATTGGGATTTCTAAAAGTATTGCAAGTCAAATTGTTACACAGTGTTAGACATTATATCATGTAAAGGCAAGTGTAACAAAAACAGTTCTGATAATGAGATTGATTTGGATCAGCAAAAAGGTGTTATTGAAAAGCTGCTCAATAAAACCGAATATCAAAAAGCACTTCAGTTTCAAATACAAGCTACAATTGAAGGAATCTTATGTGATATTTATGAGAAAACCCTGTTTCAGAATAATCTGTCATTTGCCACACCCACTCTGAAATGTAGTACAGCTGATAAATATTCAAAAGAAAGTTCTGAAATGTTCATGGAAGGTGCAAATAAGTTTATTCCTAAGCTTTCAGTTCCTAAATCAGATGTCATTTTGATATCCAATGATATCGTGAATATTGTTCTTCATAATCTCAGTTCTGCTGTCATGCTTATCATAAATGCAAAGAATCCTACTTCTGCAACATTGCCCCTGACCTTTCCGGATATGTTTCCAAAAATAGACTGTCAACAACCTCTTAGGGGGTCAAAAACTGAAAGAAAATCAGAAATCAGCTTATGCTGATGATAATCATTTAACTGTAGTAGAGAAAGAAGACATCCAGAAATTTGCTGCTGATTCATGTGAAGAAAATGCTAACTTCATTACTAAAACTATTTTTAATCGTTTAGAATCTTTTGCCACAAAAAGAGTTGATTCATTAATTGCCCTTGCTTTCCAACATAAAGAAAAGTCATTTGTTATCCCAGAATTGGAAAATTGTAAACAAAATGACAGCATCTTTTATGATTCAAGCCAAGTGGAATCAGATGTGAATGTCCTGAAAATATCAGCAACTGAAACCAATCTTAGCCAAGAGCTCACAGATTTCACTTTTGCCAGTCATGGAGAAAAACTTGGATCCACAATTCACCTATCACAAGCTAGCCTTAAGACATATGCTGACATCATTGCCAATGCCATTTTGAAGCTTATTCAAAATGATTTAGACTTAGAAATTCAAAAGATATATTCAGAAAACATCATTGTGAGTGCAATTGTTGACAGTATGTTAAAGACGTTAGATGATAAAAGATCTGTAAAGGAAATTGGTTTCAATTCAAAAGATAATCCTAACGTCTCACAGTTAACTTTATCAAATGAAATATTGCTGGGGCACAAAGAGAAGCAAATAAATACCAAACAATCTCTGTTTACAAAGTATCCATTAGAACAAAACCAACTGATATTGGAAAACAAAAGCCAGATAATTGTTTTGGAAGAAATATTTATGAGAAATGGAGAATCAAAACACAAAGAAAAAGTTGAACTGCTCAGTGCAGTGGAAGAACTTTTGAATAAGTTGTATCAAAGAATAATGGAAGTCATAGGCTATTTGCCTCCATTTAATGAAACTTCTCACTTTATATCTAATTCTAAAATTAAAACACTAGACACAACACAGAAGAACAGTTTTCAATCACATATTAACAGTGTAGCAAATGACATAGTGAAAGTGTTTTGGGGAAAATGTACTTGGTAGTTGTGACATCATTATATGAAAATAAAAGTAGGAGAGAAGTTGAAACATCTCACTGCAATGATTCCTTACCAATGAAACCATTAAGGTTTAGAGAAACTAAACAAGCAGGAAAAATAAATAATTCCCCTAAATATGTGATACCACAGGCTTTTTCTTATGCAGACAATCAAAATATCTCTGTAATGGAAAGCACATTTTTGCCATATTTACCATTGCAAGTGAAGAAAGACTTAATTCAAATGGTTCTCAATAAGATTACAAATTTTGTCTCACTTCATCTAGAAGAGAGTTTGTCCCCTGAACATTGTGCTGATAAGTTGAAGCTTTTAAGGCCACACACTTTTAAGGTCAACCCTAAGGACAGCCCTAAGCCATGCTTTCAAGCAAATTCAAAAGCAAGATCAAAAATTACCACTTTGCCTAAATTTACAAAAAAAGCACACTTAGGACTGAGTGCTGCTAAGGCCAAACCAAGTTAGGTCTTAGAGAGGAGACCCCAAAGGACAGCCAATCCAAAACTGCCATTGGGTTGTCACACATCATGTCAACTGGAGACGCCAAAAACTTACTAGATGCAAAATTGCCCACTTCAGAACTAAAAATATATGCCAAAGATATAATAATTAATATCCTGGAAACAATTGTGAAGGAATTTGAAAAGGTAAAGCAAACCAAAGCCTTACCATGTGATCAAATCATAGCAGCAGGTAAAATAGTTAATACAGTTTTGCAAGAATTATATGTTACAAATAACTGCAATTTGGCTTATCCAATCAAATCCTCACATCTCAAACTTTCACAGGGGAATATAAGCCCAGGATCCCTTGTGAAACAAGAATGTTTTTACTTGGAGAACGTTTCTTCACAGCTAGAATACATTTTTCCTAGAGAAGGTATATTTAAAAAATTGTTTGAGAAGTGGCAAACAGAATCAAATGACAAGGAAAATGAAAAGTGTAATGATAGCCGAAAATGTTTTGAATGAAATTTCAATAAAAGCAAACGAATTAGTATATTCTCTTTCACTTTTAAATTTGCCACCTCTTGAGAATTGTGAAAGCAGGCTATATAATCATCTTAAAGGAGCTTCTACTGGAGCTGAGGATAGCAAAGCACAAATTAATATGTTTGGAAGAGAAATTGTTGAAATGCTATTTGAAAAATTACAGCTATGCTTTCTGTCCCAAATTCCAACTCCAGATAGTAAAGAGACTCTAGCAGACAGTAAAGAATACATTACAGCTAAAAATAAATATGGTTTTCCAAACAAGCATAGCCTCAGAAGTTTACCAATCTATAACACAAAGACAGAAGACCAAAGTTCTATGGGCTCTAGCAACCACATTGTTCAAGAGATTGTAGAAAGGGTTTTAAACATGTTAGAGTCATTTGTAGACTTGCAGTTTAAACCTATCTCCAAATATGAGTTTTCTGAAATTGTGAAAATGCCTACTTTTTTCTACCCAACAGAAACTATTAAACAAAGAAATGTTGCCAAAATTACAACCACTTAAAGTGTTTCCTGATGAATCCAAGTCAAATACTATTATTTTTAAGGAAAACATACAGGATATCCTTCTACGGATTCATTCATTCCATTCACAATTACTGACATATGCTGTTAATATCATCATTGACATGCTTGCTGTAATTAAGAACAAGCTAGACAATGAAATAAGCCAAATGGAACCATCTTCAATTAACATATTGAAAGAGAACATTGTAGCAAGTGAGATCATTGGCGCACTAATACACCAGTGTACTTATTTCAATGAGTCTTTGAAACAAAACCCTTCAAAGGAAAGTTTATTCCATGGTGCTGAAAATGCCTACGTTGTTAATCAGCTTGTATTAGCAACTAATATGAAAACATTCACCTCAAAGTTAAAGGAAGGTGGTTTGGGGATTCATCCTTCACAAGTGACTATAACTGACTTTATGTTTATGAAAGAAAAGTACAGGGTTTTATCAAATTTACCCACCTCTGTCAGATCCTCTGTAGAAGACAGATTTAAAAACTCAGAGCCAACGAAAAGGCCTGATTCAGAAACTATGCCATCATGTTCTAGAAACAAAGTACAAGACCACAGCCCAAGGAAATCTAACTTTGGTCATTTTGATGAGATCACGAAAGAAAATAACTCCCTCCCTGAAGGCAGTATCTCACAAAAGCTGTTTAGGAAAGCAAGCAGCTCCACAGAAACATCGTTAAAGCAAGTCTTGTCATTCAGAGAAATGGGAAAAGGTGAAAATCTAAGAGCGTTTCATTATGATACCCTAAAACCAGTTGTTGAACCAAATCAAATTCAGACAACCGTTTCTCCACTCAAAATATGTTTAGCTGCAGAAAATATTGTCAATACTGTGCTATCCAGCTGTGGCTTTCCAAGTCAACCACGCACTAATGAGAATATGGAAATAATGAAGCCATATCAAAACAAAGCTCTTTATCTGAAGTATCTGGAGGACAAGAGAGTAAGGAAAAAAGTGTTCTTAGAATGCAGGATAAAATAATCAGCTATATATCTGAAGAAGAAAACAAAAACCTTGAAGCCAGCAGGGAAGATTCTTCTTTCCTGCAGAAATTGAGAAAAAAGAATTACCCAAACATAGAGACTCTGAAAGAAGTTGAAGTCTTTACTTTTGCAGATCATGAACTGGGTCCCAATGAAGTTCATCTGATAGCAAGACATGTCACCACATCTGTGGTCACATATTTGACGAACTTTGAAACTAGAGGTAAGCGAGAAAGAACTTAGACTAAAAGTTGTCATGATTTAGAAATAAAACTAATAAAAGCTATGTTTAAAGGATCTCCTGTCTAAAAAGCTGTATTCAACATTTTTATGAAAATAGTCTTGGAGATAGATGACTACTGGGTTGCATTTTAATTTTATTTTAAGTATTATTTTATTTTATTTACACTGAGGCTAGAATACAGTGGCATGATCATTGCTCCCTGCGGCCTTGAACTCCTGGGCTGAAGAGATCCTCTCATCGCAGCCTTCCCCCAAAATACCTGGGACCACAGAGCATGCCACTGAACTCTAAGTTTTTAAAATATTTTTGTAGAGACAGGTTATTGCTATACTGCACAGGCTGGACTCAAATTCCTGGCTTCAAGTGATTCTTTTTTCCCAGCCCCTCAAAGTGTTGGGATTACAAGCGTGAGCTACCATGCTCGGCCTCAAGTGTTTTTTAATCTATCACAATGCAAATAAATAAATAATTCAGTGTTTGCAGGGTTTGAATTTGAAGGATGTGTTGCTCAGTTTTCTCTATCTGCAAATGAGAGAAAATGAGACAATTTTAAAGCAGGAGATTTTGGCTGAGTACGAGGTAAAACTTTGGAAGTGTTTTTAAAAATTCTTGCACATAACTTTTTTATAATCACATGGCATGTACATTAACTGATTGAAAGTCATTTCATTTCTTTTCAAGGGTTATCATTGAAGGCTTTGCTACTGTTATTCATAGTTTAAAAGAATAGTAGAATTAAATATCTTGTTTTGTTTGCATTCCAGTATTCCAACTTAAATTCCTTTCAGGTATAATACTCCAACCATATCATTAGAGGGATTATATTTGCATTATCTTTCTAAAAATGCTCATGTGTATACATTAGGTTAAACAATATATAATATTCACTTTGTATATCGAAAACTGTTGATTATTGACATTTAATAAAATTCAGTTTAATAATACTATAACATCCCAGAACTGGGTCAGTAGTTTCAGTTACCAATAATTAGTTGCTATTACAACAGTCCAGATACATCACTTGCACATCGTTCTCATTGGAGATATTAGCAATCCTACCCACCTGCACAAGGAGGTTATATCCCATCCTTAAAACCAGTATTCTCCCAAGGTGGATGATAATAAGGCTACAACTATAAACTCTTCTCTTAAATAGATGTACTCCAGGCAGGATCTAATAGATTTTAGAAAAATAAAGAGAAGAGCCATGATTTCATCACATTGATGCTTGACTATCAATTCCATTCCTTATTCTCAGACATCTCCAAGGTCTTCCAGTGACTTCACTGATGTTTTCTTTCACTTGGAATATCATTCCTCATTCCCTTTACTTTGACATGGCCAAATCCTGTGTAGCAGTCAAAGCTCAGCTTACAGGCTTCTACCTGCATACAGTCTTGCCTGATACCATATGAAGATATATAACATATAATTAGGTTCTGAGGGAAAAAAAACAACAACTGTGTTGCTCATAGCTGCCACACCCAGAAGCTGGCCATTGCAAGTAGGTAGTGATTTGTAACAAATACAGTTTTGGATAGAACAAATACAGAGTTCTTTGCTTGGCTGGCTAAACTTCCTTCTTTGTGACAAACTATAATCTAGAGGCTAAAGTACTACTGCTATTGCAATCTATTACTACCTTTCCTGCTTTTATTTTAGTCAATTTGATATTGCAACACAACTCCTTAGTATCCTAAAAGTAAAACATAGCAAAACATTAAATGTTTTGTCTAAAAATATTTCAAAATAATTATATGGAGCCTCTAGATATCGCTGGAGACATGGTAGGATGCATCACTAACCTGGAAATTATTTCTCTGCCCCAAGTTTTTCAGCCTCTTAGAGTTCATAACCATCCAGTCAAGGCAGACATCAGCATTTGACTTAGCGGTTTGAATTTCAGGTGCTATTTTCTCAACTTACTGGCTAAAATTAAGATTCTACAGGGTGATAAATAAATATTTGAGGAAAATCCAATTTCTTTTTTTCTAAATTTTTCTTTAGTGAGTTTCCCAGAAGGTGAAATATATATGTAAATAATTACCAATATACTGAATTTTCTATATTTTCTTTAATGCATGCTAAAATTACAATGTTTTTTTTTTTTTTTAAGTTTTTAGTGAGGAGAAGATGTCTCGGTTTCTACATGGTCAAGGAAAAAGTATGAATCAAAACAGCCCCTAGGAAACATATATAATGATTCCTCAATTTATCATTGTTGTGAATATCTCACTAAATCAGTACTTTATCATTTAACTTCAAGCATTTCTAATGGCACCAAGAAGGGTAGAGAAAAAGAGAAAGCATGGGAAATTCATGAAGAAGCATTTATCAAGATTATTTCAATTCATTCTCAAGTGTTTGCGAGCAAGTCCATTTCCATTGGAAAACTTGCTTTATGTATTTCTGAAATCATTATTAAAATCCTTTTTAATAATAAAATTATACAGGCTGACATTGCACAGAAAATGGTTTCCATACCAACAAAATACATTTACTGTCGAGGAATAGCTTCTAGTGGCTTTGATGACCTCTTTCAGGATCTCTTATTAGGAGTGATTCATGTACTGTCCAAAGAAATAGAAATAGATTATCACCTTGAAAAAAATGGAAGAAACAAATCATTTTCTATGCAGAAATAATAGTGTTTACATTTGCAACAAAATCAACAGACAGGCAGGCCCCAGAGACTGGAAGTTATCAATGAAACAAATTGATCAACTTTTTCAAAAAAATAAATTAAATTACCTTGCATGTAAGTTAAACAGCCTGGTTGGTAACCTAAAAACCAGTGAATCCAAAGAAGTTGTCAATAAAGTTTTTAATATTGTTTCAGATTTATTTTCACCAGATGAATGCCTAGATAGTGATACAGATTCTGGTAAATTACAAGGAACATTTGTCTCCTCCTCAAATAATGAACAACCTAATAGCATATTTAGAAATAACTCACAGCTCTCCTCAAAATCAGTTTTTCTTCTAAGTGTTGTATGTGAGAAACTTATCAGAATACTTTTGGAAGAATGCACAAGCAATGTCTTTCTTGATAATGGATCTCTTTCAGAGGAAACATCAGCAGAAGAATGTCAACTTTTAAACATGCTTCAAAGTATAGAAGATGGAAAATCTGATTATAACAGAGGAATGAACTGTGAATGCCTTCAAGGAGATTACATGTCAGACCTTTTGGAAAATGTGGCAGAAATTGATCAAGACTTACTGTCATCAGACTCTATGCTTACTATTATTTCCCACAGCTTGGTTAAATCATTGATGAACAAATTATCTCACAGTATACAACAAGCTCCCGAAAGTCTACCTTTTGCAAATGAGCATTTGAACTACCAAACAAGAGAAATACAGTCAAGTCTCACCAAAGCAAGAAAGCCAGAATTAACAGAATTAAGACAAAGTAAATATTCTTTAGGACTCAGGAGTTATGACAGTAATTCTTTGACAGTATCCCTGAATAATCCCAATGTGGTTAGCTCCAAAATGCAAGCACCATTTGGCAAGCATTGTGCAGTGAAATCCTCTTCCATGTCATCACTTGAAAGCCAGAGAACAAAAGAAATGGATAATGTAGCCATTCCTAATAAGCTACATCAGGAAGGTATATATGCTGGTGTTTTTTTTGGAAGGAATAATTTCAGAATTGTTTTTTAATCTCTCTACTGCATTGTGGGGCAAAAATAAAAACATCACTCTGTCCTGGCTCAGTGAGATGAATACATTATTTGTCAACAACGTAGTGAATGAATTTAATAATGCTCAAGTCACTGTTCTACGGAATGCTGAAGAAAGACTGTGTTTTCCACCAGTTCATACAGAAACTGTTAACAAAATTGTCACCTCCGTTTATTATGATGTTTTACAGCAGTATGAATTAAAAGTAGCCTGCAGTAATGATCTGGTATATGACAATGCCTCAATAGCAGAACAAATAACAAATGGCATATTGTTAGAGGTTTTAGACTACAAACTGCCATCTTTCCTCAGGGAATTTCTCATACCCCATTCATGTTACCCTCTCAAACCTGAAATTATATTGCAAAAGCTTCAAAATAACCTGAGAGAATTTGCTTCCCTACCCAGGTCTTCATCAGACTATAGTACCATGTTATCACATTCATTTTTAGAAGATGTCATCAGAAGGCTTTTATCTCGGCTCATTCCTCCACCCATTACATGTTCCCTTTTAGGAAAAAAACATTTAATGGGTTCAGATTTTAATGAAATGTCCACCTGTATAGTAAATAAGGTTATGTCAGCCATTTCAAAACATAAAATCTGGTTGACAATATATGATAATAAATATCTATACACTGGAAAAAACCTACAGAAGATGGTGGATTCTATTTATGGTAATATTTTGCAAATGTCTGACTCTGTTGTTTCTATACAGAAAAGTATAGTAAGCCAAAACCCAATTATGGTTGACCAAATAGCCGGTTTTATCATCCAAGAGATTATTGAAAATCATCTTCAACCATTTTTGAGTGGAGAGGTTTTATGTCATTCAAAGAATCCACTGGATCCAGTATCTACTATGGTTAAACAGGTTCTGAGTGAAGTGACAGAGTTACACAGACCTCAGAAGCAATCACCTTCAAGTATTCCCCAGACTTTTGTCAAAGATTTTCACCCCAAACCATAACACCAAAATTGAGTTGAAAAACATGACTCAAAGAATAGTAAACTCTGTAAATAGCCATTTTGATAAAACTAAAATTCACACTCTCTGTGATGACAAAGAACAATCTTTCTCCTCTTTCAATACAGATATTGTGGATGAACTTGTCACCTCAGTTTACAGAAATGCTTTAAAGCAGCATGGGCTAGACCTTGCTATTGATAAAGAGTCTGAAGATAGTGGCATTTTTGTGGAAAATATTACCAATCTAATTGTAGCAGCTTTTTCAGACTACCTTCTTCATCCTCTGTTTTCTGGGAATTTGTCAGCTTCTACTGATTCTAATTCAGTGGCTGAGAATATTGTTCAGGACATCCTTACTAACATCAGTAAATCTACTGAGCCAAGCCAGAGTTTACCTCTATATAACACCTTGCTGCCATACACATTTTTAGAAGAACTATTATCTAAATTATTTTCTTCTGCATCTAGCCTGGCTCTAAACAGAGAAACCCAAAAAGATTTGTCAAGATCGAATTTCAATGAAACTGCTTCAAACATAATTAGTGATATTAGGTTGAAAATTTCTCAACATAAAATTCAATTTTCAAAAGAGGAAGAAAAAAACAAATTTATTTATTCAGAAGATGATATTCAGCACCTTGTTGACTCAGTATTTGAAAACATTGTGCAAACTTCTGGGTCTCAAGAATCAGCTGCGCAAAATATCACAAGCAGTAATGATGTTCTTATTGAAATAATAGCAGGCTTCATCATTAAACATGTATGTCAAAAACATCTTCAGCCATTTGTGAATGGAAAATCATTACCTTCATCAGACACATATTTTGATGATGAGAGAAGGCAGTTATTTTATACCAGTGTTTACTCTTCAACATTCTTGGAAGATGTAATCTCTGGAGTTTTAAGAAAAATATTCCATCGGGGGCATTGTACAAACAAAATCCATGGGAGACTCAGAAGATGAACTGTTTGAGAAAGCTGAAGAACTCATACATTTGATAACAGGGGAATTCGCAAAAGCCCAAGTTACCATTATAGATAATACTGAGGAAAGATTTTGTTTACCTCCAGTGGAAGGGGATGCAGTCAAAACAATTGTTGACATGGTGTACAGCAAAGTTTTGCAAGAATATGAAATGGAAGTATTGCCCAATAAAGATTTTCTACATGACACAAAGACATTGGCTACCAGAATAACTAGGATCATCCTGGCTGAAATTTTTGATTTCCAAATTCATCCAGATGTTATAGCAAGTCTGCCTTTTAAGTCACATTCCAAACTCAGCACAAATGTTTTAATAAAGAGAGTTCAAGATGATATAAGTAAATCAAGATTCCAAAGACAAGCTTCAACAACGTATATGTTATCACATAGTCATTTGGAAAAAATCGTCACTCAGCTTATATCTCAGATGAGTCCACCAGTGCAGAACAGTCAGATACTACTAAATCAGACTTAAGTAATACAGTGATAAAACTGATAAGTGAAATTATGTCAATAATTTCAAAACATGAAATATGTATTATTAAATATGGGAATAAAAGACAGAGTATGATTTCAGCAAAAGATATCCAGTCTATGGTTGATTCCATTTATGCTGACCTTTCTCATTCAAATATATACCACTCCATTACAAAAGAAAAAAAGAGCATAAGTGACATACCTGTTTCAAAAATAGCAAGTTTTATAATAAAAGAAGTCTTTAATCATCATATTCAATCATTTTTATCTGAAGATAAAACTCTCCTTTTGGCTGCAGTTGATCAAACTTACAAATTGAAAACAATAGATCCTAAACAAAGAGAATTATCTTTTACTGTGAACTCATCTGTCTTTTTGGAGGAAGTAATTTCTGAACTTTTATGCAAAATTCTTTATGCATTTTCACATAATATGTTGGTTACTGAAAATCCGAAACCTGAACTTACCAGCATTGTTACAACGTTGGTAAATTCAATTGTTCTGGAGTTCACCAAATCAGAGATTTCAGTTGCAGATAACTTTGATGAAAATTTACCTTTCTCAGAAAGATATAAAGAAATGGTACAAAAAACAGTCATCTCAGTATATGGAAAAATGTTAGATCAATATAAATCTCTGATTCAAATACACAGGGTTATACAAAGTGACACAATCTGCTTTGGTAGGAAAATATATTATTTGCTATTGGAAGAAATTTATGACTATCAGGTGCAGTCATTAGTTTCAGGAGAATTGCCATTGTCTTCTTATTCTTACCCCCAAGCTGATAATATCATCAGAAATGTGCTTAACCTAATCACAAAGGATAGCCATGCCTTGCCATCATATATGACTGTGTGGCCTCATTCTCTTTTAGAAGACATAATTTACAGGCTTCTAGTGCATAACTTCCCTTCAACTCACACTGAAAATGAACTAAAAGGATGAACTTGTGGATGCAGTTTCAAAATTGACTGATGAAATTATAAAAGAAATTTCTGAACATGAAGTTCGACTTTCCATGGCAGAGGATAATGCAGAAAGTATGCAGTTAGAACCTATTGAAAATTTGGTCGACTCTATATGTAATAATATTTTGAAAACTTCTGAATTCCAAGCTGAAGTACAAAAAGATGCAGGCAAAAAAGGATGCTTATTCCTCAGTAAAATAGCTGGTTTTATTATGAAGGAAATCATGTATCATCATTTACAGCCATTTTTCCATGGTGAAGAATCATCTTTCAGTGACTTACCCAATCATGACCATGTCTCTGAACTTGCTAAATCTGGTAAAGAAAAGACACAGCCCTCTCTATATTCAGCTACATTTTGGAAGACATAATCATTAACCTGGTTCACAAATTTTGTTGTCTCCCTGTTACTGCTGAAGATTCTAGGAAAAAAGAAATGGCAGAGCCAGATATTATGGGGTTGGCTCTAAAATTTGCAAATTCTCTGATAAGGGAATTTAAAAAAAGTCAAATAAAAGTTTTACCAAATGCTGAGAAAATGTTTTCTTTTCCACCAGTTGATAAAGAGACAGTTGATAAAATATCCAATTTTGTATATGATCAGTTCATAGAAAAATTCACATCTAATAATACTCAGAAAGGTGATGAAAGTAACATTGCTATAGGGATGATTGCTTCTCTAGCTCAGAAGGCAATGTCTACATTCAAGATTCAACCACTTTTTTCAGGAGACTGGTCTTCCACCTTCTTTTCATTTCTAAATCCAGATAATATCACCCAGAGGGTTCGACATCTACCACAAAACACCTCTACACAAATAAGCAGATGCTTAACAGAGAACCAACTCCCTTTATCAGATCAATCATATAAAGATACTTCTTCCACCTCAGACTGCAAAAGCACAATGAGCCCTTTGCAAATAAATAGAGGTACAGTGAGTAGAAAGAAAAGTTTTCACATCAATGACAAAAGGGGACATCCAAAATCCAGTACTTGGCTCTACAAATGCAATTATGAAAAGCAGCATAATTAAACTGATATCAGAGTCAGCCACAGGTGCGACAAATAAGAAGAAAGTGGATGGAAATAAAGTGGGAATTTGTACTCAAAAACATAGTGAGAATGTATCAAAAATCACTTCTTTAACTACTAGTGTGAAAAGTAAAGATACTTGGGAGCCAAATTTGAGTGAAACATTTAAAAATAATGAAATCGAGAAGAAAAGAAATTTAATTCCAAAATATAAAGAAGGGCAGGATGATGAGGTACACACACATTTTCCCTTAATAATTGATAATATAGAATATGAGAAGGAAGTACTTGGATCAGATTCTGAAATAGGCTATAAAAAGAAGATTGACAGTGCAAAAGAAAGATCATTTAAAAAAGATGGGAAGGTCTTTCAGTTACCTTCTTCAAAGTCCAGGAGAAATTTAAGGACTACAACGGAGACTTTGGAAATAGGGACTCAAAGCAATGAAGGGAGAAGAGAGTCTCCAACCCAAACAGATATGGATGAGGAACACCACTCAGATTATGAAAATGTTCAATATGTCATTGAAAATATTTATGGGGATGTTTTACAACGATCTTCTCCAGAACCAGCATATTATTCAACACTCAGTTATGACAAAAGCCCCCCAGGTGATAATGCATTAAATGTAATTCAGGAGGTCAGCAGGGATTCAGCACAGTCTGTTACAACAAAAAACGTATCCTTCTCAACTAACAAAAATGTCCCTGCCAAAGAAAAAGAAGAGAAAGAGAGCGAAAAAGAGGAAGTAAGAGAGGAGATTAAAAGTGAACCCAGAAAACCAGACAGCCCTCAGTACCAACCAAAAAATAAACCTGGAATTTTTCCTGCTAAATTTTTAGAAGATGTTATTACTGAGATGGTTAAAAAATTGATCTTTTCTTCTATACCAGAAACACAAATACAAGATAGAGGTCAAAATGTCCGTGATGAGAAAAATCAAGCTGAACTCTATGACACTGCTATGAAACTCATCAATTCACTATTAAAGGAGTTTTCAGATGCTCAAATTACGGTTTTCAGACCAGACAAGGGGAATCAGTTTTTCCCACCTGTGGGAAAAGAGCCAACAACAGATGAAGCACCATCCAGCATTAAGATAAAATCCGCGGATAAAATGCCACCTGTCGATAAAATGACTAAAAAACCTTCAGTTAAGATACCATCAACTGACAAAACATTGGTCAATAAAGTTGTTCACTCTTCTGTTTGTAATATTTTAAATGAATATGGATCTCAAGACTCTATTTGTAAGAATATAAACAGTAATGGAGAAAATTTAGCAAGAAGACTAACTAGTGCAGTGATAAATGAAATTTTTCAACATCAGCTTAACTTGATATTTTGTGATGAGGTTTCAGCTTCAGCATGTTTGCCTCTGGAATCTAAGGATGTTGTTAAAAAGGTCCAAAAGTTGTCAAACTTTATCACCATATACAATAATATTACCTCATAAATTTTTAGAGAATGTGATTTCTGTTCTTTTATCTAAAATTTTCTCAATAATATCCAGCACAGAAACAAGAAAACTTGAGGACAATTTGTTCACAGAACTGGATTTCTTTCAAATTAAGTTAGTAAGTGCAGTTGCAACAGAGATCTCCCAAAATAAACATTTGATTATACAGTATGTAGAATCCTTACAATCTGATGATCATGAAATTACTCAGTTAGTGGTTCAGTCTGTTTATAACAATCTCTTGCTACAGTTTGGATCACAAGAGATCATACAGAATTGTGTCATCAGTGGATGCAAAATCCTTTCAGAAACCATAGTTGACTTGGTTCTACGAGAAGTGGCTGGCAATCATTTGCAGAGCTATTTTTGTGGAGAGCTAACTCCACATCAGTGTGTGGAAGTTGAAAATATCCTTAAAGATGTTTTCCAAACTACTTGTGCCCTTACCTAAACCATCACATGCTCATAAGCTGTCTTATAACATAATAGAAGAAATTGCTGTGAAATTTTTATCAAAACTTTTATCTGTATTTCCAAAAGTGCATAAAGAAAAAACCAAATCCTTAGAAACTGAAATGCTAAAAATAACTTCAAAAGTATTAAATTCAGTCCAAGAATTTATCTTTAAAAGTAAGATTAAACTTGTAGCACCCACCAAGCAATCACCTACTGTACCTGTAGCTGATAATGCAACTATTGAAAACATAGTTAATTCTGTTTTTACCAGTGTTTTAAAGCACTTTGGTTCTTTTACTTCGATATTTAAAGATTTAATGGGTAAAGGTAGTGTCCTCTCAGATATAATAGGCTTTTATTGGTGAATGTAATATCCAATTCTGAATTTCAACCTCAAGTAGAGGAAGAAGTATCAAATTCAGAATTAGTTCTGGAAGCTGTCAGAATTATGGAAAAAGTGACCAAAATTATTGATGAACTAAGTCTCAGGAAAAGTCTTCATTCAGAAAAGGTTTGACATTAGATGTCAAACTTTTAGAAGAGGTGTTGGCCTTGTTCTTGGCTAAACTAGTAAGGTTGCCAAGTTCCTCAAACATAGATGAAAAAAACTTATCAAAGCCTGAGTTAAATAAAATTGCATCTCAACTGACAAAATCTGTAACAGATGAAATTTCCAGACGTAGCATTAGTCTAATAGCTTCTGATCCTGAAAAACACTGTTTAAATCCAGAAAATATAGAAAGGGTTTATCAGGTTGTTAATTCTGTTTATAGTAACATACTACAACAATCAGGAACCAACAAAGAACTTTATTATGATATAAAAGATACAAACACAGTCTTTCCTAAAAAAGTGGCTAGTTTAATTATTGATGGAGTTTCAAGTTTTCCATTAGATAAAATTGGCTCAATAATTTCAAATGCTGATCTCTCTGGAGAGCTAGACATTAACAGAATTGTTCAAAAGGCACGAGAACATGTTAATATGATTCCTGAATCGGAGGAAGAACAGTTAGATCAAGTTTCATCTGAAGAGGAATATCCTATTAAAATAGTTCCTCATGTTGGGAAAAAACCAGTCAAAATAGATCCAAAAATTATTTCTGAACACTTAGCAGTTATTTCTATAAAAACTCAACCTCTTGAGAAACTTGAGGAGGAGTGTTTGAAAAGAACTGGACGTAGCATAGCAGAACTGAGAAGAGCATTAATAAGTGGGAGAAATTACTACTCAGAATCACCGAATTTAGAAAATAGAAAGAGAGAAAGACGTACCTCATTGGATAAGACTGGAAGACTAAATGTAAAACCCTTAGAGGTAAGTGCAAAAATAATGGCAGGAAAATGAGTGGATAGTGAGACATGGTTCTTCTGTGATTTCTTTCCTCAAATAAGTATATGGACATGCATTCATTGTTGTTGCTATTGCTCAGCCCAATAGGAGAACTGGTTGCATTGGTTCATCCATACAATCGTATGTTACTTCTGTAGCTCACTCTAAAAGTCTCAGGCTGGTTTTCCTAAGACAACTGTTTTGAACTTTTTTTTTAAGAACGTGACGATAAGCATATACCCTTCACAGTAAAACCAGACTGACCAGAGTTGTAATTGCCATTTGAATATTTAGAAGTAGCAACCTTGTGTAGTTCCTTAGTTTGTTATGGATATCTAAAGGTATTCAAACAGGCCAGTTAAAAGAATATCAGGATATATAAAACAATCTAAAATAGTTTTAATTTTCAAATTTAAGGCTGCAGAGTAGTACTCATTTTCTTTCAGTAAAATTTATCAGCAAACATTAGACTGCAAACTCTTAGATTACATTTGTCCTATTTTACTTCAATAATATTACCCTTTCCCATTTGCCCTGGTCTCTGAAGATGTATCCATTTTTTTCATGCTTACTCACTTATTTTATCTAACCCCAGCTGCATTAGTGCTCCTGTTTTTATAAGCCCTAATCTGTGTATACTCAGGCCCCAAATATTTTAAATGAGAATTTAAAATGTCAAAAATAATGTCCTTATTACAAGGAAACTACTACTGAAGACCAAAGATTTGTCTCACAAACAAGTAGTTTGCACTTATCCATCAGGGATTTTTGACATGTATTAAAATCCCTTTAACTGATGGTGTGCATTTGTGAGAGGACTGAGTATGCTTAGCATGTAGTTCGTAGCCTGGACAATTAGCAAAGTTTTATAGAACCATGCCTTCTGGGGCATAAGCTTAGAGTAAATTTTTTCAGCAATCTTCTGCAACCCACTAAACTGAATCTCAAAGCTAGTAAATAAGTTAATTAATGTTTTAAGTTTTCACACCCTGGTATAGTTTGATATTTATTCCTGCCCAAATCTCATGTTGAATTGTAACCCCCAGTGCTGGATGTGGATACTGATGTAAGGTGTCTGGGTTATGGGGACCGACCTTTCATGGCCAGAGTTCTTTCAAGATTGGTCATTTAAAAGTGTGTGGCGCCTACCCTCCCAACACACACACAGTCTTTTTCTCCTGCCTTTGCCATGTGATGTGTCTCCTCTTAATTCATTTTCAATCATGATTGGAAGCTTCCTCAGGCCTCACCAGAACGTATGCATATATATAAATATAACCTAATATATATATTTATATATATATATAAATGTATAAGGTTATTAGTATATATTAATATATATAAGGTAATTTAATACATATAAGGTAATATATACTATCTTATATATTATATATATTATATATATAAAACCTCTCAGGAATTTCTTTATAGCAGTGGAAGAATGGTGTAACACAGAAAATTGGTACTAAGGAGTGGGGCAGTAACTGAAAATATTTTTCTGTTAACCAGCACCTTTGGAACTGGTTAACAGACAGAGGCTGGAAGCGTTTGGAGACTCAGAAGAAGACAGGAAGATTAAGGAGAGTTTGGAACAGATTGGATAAATGGTTGTGACCAAAAGGCTGAGGGACAATGGTGATATGGACAATGAAGTTGAGGCTGATAAGGTCTCTGATGGAAATGAGGAATTTATTGGGAACTAGAGCAAAGGTCACCTTTGTTATGCCTTGACAAAACACTTGGCTGCATTGTGTCCATGCCCTGGAGTTCTATGGAGTTTGAACATGTGAATGATAACCTAGGATAACTGACAGAAAAAATTTCTCATAAATGAAGCATTCAACATATGACCTGGCTGCTTCTAATAGCCTGTTCTCAAATGCAGGAGGAATGACTTAAACATTTGGAATTTATATTTAAAAAGGAAGCAGAGCATAAAGTCTGGAAAATTGGCTGGGCATAGTGGTTCACACCTGTAATCCCAGCACTTTTGGAGGCCGAAGTGGCTGGGGCCCTTGAGGGCAGAAGTTTGAGATCAGTCTGGACAATATGGTGAAACCACCTCTCCACTAAAAATACAAAAATTGGTGGCACATGCCTGTAGTTCCAGCTATATCAGAGGCTGAGGCATGGGAATCACTTAAACCCAAGAGGCAGAAGTTGCAGTGAGCCAAGATCATGCCACTGAACTCCAGCCTGGGTGACAAAGTGAGACTCCATCTCAAAGAAGAAGAAAATTCAGCCATATGGCAAAGAAATAAAATGGTTTTGTTTTTTGTTTGTTTGTTTGTTGAGAGAAATTCAAGAAGGCTGTGGAACTATCACTTGTTAAAGAAACTTGCAAAACTGAATTCAGCCATATGGCAAAGAAAGAAAAAGTTTTGGTTTTTTGTTTTTGTTTTTGTTTGTTTGTTTGTTTGTTGAGAGAAATTAAAGGCGGCTGTGGAACTATCACTTGTTAAAGAAACTTGCAAAACTGAAAGAGAGCTAAGTGCTAATATTCAAGACAATGGAGAAAAGGCTTCAAAGGCAGTTCAGAGGCTCTCACTGCAATCTGTTTTATTTCAGTTAAAGAGGGGAAAGAATGGTTTCATGGGCTCTGCAGCCTCAGAACTCCACTGCTCACATCCCCGTGGTTCCTTTTCCCTTTTCCAGCTATGGCTCAAAGGGGCCCAGTTACAGCATGGGCTGCAAGCTGTAGCCTCGGTGGTTTCCATGTGGTATTAAGCATATAGGCACACAGAATCCAAGAATAAATGAGGCTTCTCAGCCTCTGTCTAGATTTCAGAGGAAGTATGGAAAAACCTGTATGCCCAAGCAGAAGCCTGCTGCAGGAGTGGAGCCCTTACAGAGAACTTTTACCAGGGCATGCAGGGGGAACATGTAAGATTGAAGGTCCCACTGGAGCACTTCTCAGTGGAGTTGTTGAAAGAGATTTTGCATTCTGCAGACCCCAGAATGGTAGATCCACCAGTATCCTGCAACCTCAGCGTGGAAAAGCCTCAGGCACTCAGCAGTCTCCCAAGAGCATCTATCAGGGCTGCATCCTGCAAAAACACAGGGGTGGGGCTTTGAGAGCTCACCCCTCCCATCATTGTGCCCTATATGTTGGACATAGAGTCTAAGGAAATTATTTTGGAGCTTTAAGATTTAATGAAGCACTTCTGGATTTTGGACTTGCATGAGGCCTGTAGCCCCTTCCATCAGGCCAATTTCTCCCTTTTCAAACATGAATGTTTGCCCAATGCCTGTACTCCCATTGTCTCTTGGAGGTAACTATCTTGTTTTTTATTGTGTTTTGTGGTGTGAGAGGATGAGGGATTTGTGAGGAGTCATGGGCAGAATGATATAGTTTGGATATTTGTTCCCCTATCAAATCTCATGTTGAATTATAATCCACAATGATGGAAGAGGAGGCCTGGTGGGAGATGCTTGGGTCAGGGGGATGGATCTCTCATGCTTTAGTGCTGTCTTCATGATAGTGAGTGAGTCCTCATGCTACTTGGTCATTTAAAATTGTGTGGCAACTGCCCCCAACTCTATTGCCCCTGCTATCTCCATGTTTTCCCCTTTGCCTTCTGCCATGATTGGAGGCTTCCTAAGAAGCAGATGCCACTATTTTTTCAGTAAAACCTGCAGAAATGAGAGACAATTAAATGTCTTTTCTAATAAATTACCCAGTCTCTGGTATTTAGAGCATCACAATAGTGACCTAACACATACCAAAATTCTTAGTTTATCATGGTTAAAACTTCTTTAATCTTCTTTACTTTTGCTTTTTTGGAAGAAATGATGGTCTCTTCCAGCTCCTAAATTTTATTTTTAATCTGGGTTCTCATCATTATATTAGCATATACTTGGTAGTCTTCATTTATATATAAATTATTGCCTGGGAAAAAAATTAAGTGAACAGACTATAAGATAACATTAACTAAACTCAATTATCTATAGAATTATCTGCCACAAATCTTATTCTTAGTTACAAGCCTTCTTTACTTGAGTCATTTATAACCACAGAGTGCAAGAAAGGAATATTTAAACTAAAACAAATACTCCTGTTCAAGGAAGGAAAAGCCATCCTAAAATAACACAATAAAGAAGCAGACATGGGCAACTCAGTTAAGACATGTTATTTGCCCCAGTCTGGCTACCAATATTATCTATCTTCGACAAAGGGCACAGCAGAGAAGAGAAAGAAAGACCAGCCTGGCCAATATGATGAAACCCTGTCTCTACAAAAGAATACAAAAATTAGCCAGACATAGTGGCACTCCCGTAGTCCTAGCTCCTCAGGAGGCTAAGATAGGAGAGTCACTGGAACCTGGGAGTCGGAGGTTGCAGTGAGCCAAGATCGCATCACTGCACTCCAATCTGGGTAACAAAGAGAGACTAAAAAAACAAAAGAAAGAAAAGAAAGTATGTATATTTAGATTTCTTTATAATTCCTTACCTAGGATTTTCGGAAAATGGGTTATCCTGTCTCCTTCTGTCATAAAATGTTCAAGATAAATGACAAAGAAGAAGTAATTTAATTATGTTAAATCTTGCTCTACTTTTGGAGTAAGTTAGATTAGATTGATGTATATAAATGTAAAAAAGTGATGCATGCCAACAAATATTTTTTATTTGACTTTATTTTAAAATATTTCTAATATATAATTAAGTGATAATCGAAGATATTACTTAAATCAAAACTAGAAACCACAGGAACATAGCTACATTATAATCAAACTACAGGAAAAGTGATTTAGACATTTGTTTTTAATATTTGCTATACCTTTATTTTCAGACTGTTCGCAGAAATTCATTTCCGAATATAAGAAAGCCTGATATTACAAGGGTGGAGCTCTTAAAAGATGTGCAAAGCAAAAACGATCTTATTGTTCGATTAGTGGTTCATGATATTGATCGAGTGGATTTGGAAAACTACATAAAAGAAGAACTCGATTCTGATGAAGATGAAGTTGTTTTAAGAGAGACTGTGGCAGAAGAAGAAGGCATCGAAGTATTTAAAGATCAAGTAAAAGTCAAGAAGCCAGAAGAAAACAAAGTTTAAGTCAGCACTAAGCACTAGCAGACTGAAAAAGCTTTCGTCACTAAGTAAATGCTGTCAGACCACAGCCAGTGCAAATACTGAAAGTATTGAAGCAACCTCAAATCAGGTAATAGAATCTAAGGAGAAACATGTTAAAAGAGCTGCTGCTGAGCTTGACATGGCCATAAAAAAAGCCATGCCTGAAACAGCCTCTTCATCTTGGGAGGAAAAGCCATTGTGTAAGGTAAGTGAGAAGCATGACAGTTAGTGACAAGAAAGGGGAGGCAGCTTTTCAAATATGGCCCAATAATGTATCTTGCTTAGTCAGAAAAGAATGAATTCAGTCTCAAGCCTGATGATATTTACAGAATAAGGGAAATAATTACCAGGCACAGCTGTGAATCTCAACTGTAGGAAAGCAAATAATAGGGGAAAAACTAGATTAATTAGAATCTCAAAGAAAAGAGAAAATGAAATGTATAAGAAAAATGTAAACTAATTATTTAAAACAATTGGCCACCCTTTTGTATTTTCGCTGGTAAGTAATCATTCAACATTTTGTGTGGTGAGGCTAATGCCACTAAAACAGCAGCAGAAGATTGGCTCTGAATAGGAGGAAGAAAAAAAGATCCACAGAGATTCAGACTGCTTAGGTTTGAATCCTGACTCTTAATAGCTATGTGACCTTTTGGTAAGCTATATAACCAACTTACCCAACCTTAACAAGATAATTTATATATTTTAAATATCACCCTTACAATTAGCCCATAATCTCTGCTATCAGCATGGTTAACATCTCTTGATGCTGGCTCCAAACCCTCAAATGATGGTCTGGGTCTCAATGACCTTCTGAGTTTGGTCCTGTCCAAAAATCTATACCATAACATGTTTTTGGAGAATATGTTATTTTCAGTATTCTGATGAGGCCATTCTCTTGATTATCCATTTGATGTGATTCTAAGGTAAAACAAAAGCTTAGATTAACTACAGAAAATAACAGAAATTTAACTCTGCAATTCAGAAGTACACATGACTTTGCAACAAATAGATCAAAATATGTGTTAAGATGATTGATCTGGCAAGATACCTAATTGATCAGAGCTGTATCTGTGTTCTTCCTCTTTTTGAACCCCATAATATATGATTTTAAATGTTTTTAAAGTTTAGAGGTAGATTTCAACATTGTTCTAGATTTATGTTTAAAATTTGTTCAAAATCCAGTATCATAATTTGGGTAATCTTCACTGAATTATTTCAAATTAATTATATTCAAATACACTTTTTAATTAGAAATATAGGGTGCATCCATCTTTTAAGTAATTTCTAAAACTTTGTTCTGTTAAAATGTAGATTATATGGCAAAAAGATGTCATAAGGTAAGAAAGTATATCTCAAACTCCATTTAGAGTAATAGCTGATTTGTCCTTTTCCAGAAAGAAGAGAAGAATCTTCTTACTGAACCACCACATTACTTCATACACAGAATTATGAGTTCATCTTCATACAACCAAGAAATCTCATTTCATCTACTGGGTACATGAAATTAAAGCAGTTCAACTATAGAAATTTGATAAACTAGAGCTTATGGGTAGAATGGGACCCCTGGCAAAATTGTGACTGAGAAAGTATTTAGCTTCAGACCTTCCCTCACTTCTTTCTTTCATTGGAACCCTACTGCGGATAATTCCAAAGCCACGTATTGCTATTTGCTCATCCATTTTTAGATACCTGGCCTATATGTCCCAGTTTTGAAACCAGTTTCTAGTATATCTTCTTTGTAGTCTTATTAAAGTGTTTGTTAATGTAGTAGGTTATTTTCTAACATGAGAGAGAGGTAATGGCCCAGAAATAGAGTATGTAGTATCAGTACAAAAGGGGCCATGCTTAGCTCTCTTCACAAAGCTAGTGTTCATTGCCTATAAGAAGAATCCAAAGGAATGAGCAAGAAATGTAAGTTGGAGCATTCAGAGATAAATAATAGAAAGCAATGGAGTTTGATATGACTCTTTAAGAATGGATAGCACTTATGCAAGTGAAAGACAATCCAAGTGTGGATGACACTAGCGGCAAAATATGGACCACAGTTATAGGGGACAAGGAGGAACAAAGTGCCCTGTAGACTTGTAATCTGATTAATAACTATCAAGAATAGTGAAAATATCTTAAATTGTGCTTAAATTTATAAAATTGTACATAACTTAGAAAAGATAACATTTTTTATCTGGTGAGAAGTACTGATGATATACACAGAAAAATCTACCGAATGATTTATTTTTTCACTCAGCATGCTGGAATTGTATTTTTTTTTTGACATAACCCTATTTGACTCACCATTTTCTCTCTTCTCCTGCATAACATGTTATTGTAACATACATAACTAGTAATGTTGGAAACTCTCTATTGGTTATATCAGTGAAGTAAAAAGCAGGCATAAATAATATTAAATAAAAATAATTTTAAAGCAAGATAATACCAGGAAGCTCAAGGTTCTGATTTTCCCATGGAAACAAAACATAAGCAACTACAAACTGACTAACACAACTTTATAACAGCTCTGGAAAACAGTCTGCAGCAACCAAATAAATACTGAATCAAGAAAAAGCTGGCTGGGCATAGTGCGTCATGCTTGTAATTCCACCTCTTTGGGAGGCAGAGGCATGAGGATTGCTTGAGGCAAGGAGTTTGAACCTAGCTTGGGCAACACAGCAAAATCCTAACTCTAATAAAATAAAGTAATACAAAATTAGCTGGAATGGTCATGTATGTGCACCTAGTGCTAGGAGGCTGAGGTGACAGAATTGCATGAGCCCAGAATTGCTTGAGAAGTTACAGTGAGCTATAATTTTACACTGCACATTAGCCTAGAAAACAAAGTGATAGAGAGAGAGAGAGAAAGAAAAAAAAAGGAAGGAAGGAAGAAAGGAAGGAAGGAAGGGAGGGAGGAGGAGAAAGGAGGTGAAAGAGGAAGTAAGAAAAGAGAGGAAAAAGAGTATGAGAGAAGAGAAAGAAAT